AGTTTAGCAGCCTTTTAAGGTCTGGTATTAAACACACATAATCAACACTCTTCTTACTCTTCTTGGAGAGGCAAAGAGACAGAAGTCCCTCCTCCCAGGAAAACATCCTCTCCAGTTGTTTTCATGACTTTTCTCTGGAATATTTTCAACAACCTTTTAAAATAAGTTGTTTCCAGTTGTTTTTCCTAACTGGAAGGCACATTCTTTGTGTCTTTCTCTCTCGACAGAGTTGTGATAAAAACACAAAATCAGCTCCCTGTATCTCTGCACATCCATATATTATGCCAGTCCTTTTAAGGCTGGGTTTCCTAAAGAGTACAAAAATTACACAGTTATGTGGTATGCATGACAGTGTCTCATCTAGAACACCTCACCCAATTACAACACCATAAGTGCTGTAAGTCTCAAATGTGTTCCCACATGCCTCATGAGAACAGCAGAGAAGATTTAGGGGGAGGCTGAAACACAGTCTCACTGCTTGACGGACGCTAAGAGCCACAGCAGACAGGCTCCACCATCACCACTCATTGAACTACCAACACTAGAAAATCCTGTTGTGTTGCATGCCCACTTAAATCATCCAGAAGTAGGCCAGCTCAGTTGCATATTTCTGATTATTTGAAGTATTTATCACATACAACATTCATTACTTATTATTCTATATATATTTTTGTGTAGTGCTATTGTTGTTTAATTTTTACCATATAGCAGCAACAAATGCTCACGCAAGACTGGTGCCCAGACGTTGTAGGCACAAACAAATAAACAGCATGTTTACATGTGCTCCCCAGGTACTCTACTGTAAATGAAAGGTCCTGGTACAGGCTATAGAAAACTGAGTATGGAGGATCCAGAATGAGGCCAGAAAGGCACTTGGGCCTTGCCACATTACCTATGCAAATACAGCTTCTGAAGCATTTTGATTTTTTGCTTCTTTGAAAAAAAAAACAGTTTAATTCAGCAGTTGTAAAACAGTTATCCTTGAGCAGCCATCAGTGATTTGTCAGGTTTTTCATAGGCATCAGAGTCTAAGTGGACCTTAAGGAGATATTTAATGGTCAAATTAAATAGGAAGTGATCTTCCAGGAAGAACTGAAGGCATTTATGCAAGGCAAACCACTGATTATCACAGGAATGGCATAATTCCCAGGCACTTACTTCTTACTTGCCTGGAGATACATCTGATGAAAAATCAAATAAATCTGTGATTGCTGCAGCTTAACCTTTCAGTTGCTTCTTTTACGACTTAAATCCTCAGAGGATCTATACTTTAAACCCCAGAATTTCTATCTTTCAGGGTTAGAATTAGGCTTCCTTATGTAACACAGTGCTGCAGGTCCTTGAAAGATGCCCATCCGTCTCCCAACTGCCCACAGCAGCAGGAGCACCATAGCTCTTACACGTTGTAAACTCATTTTGCTATAGCTTGCATGGCGCTTCTCACTTGGCTGAAACTCAAGTGTTTGCTATCTTTTGGGGTTAATAATTGATTTCTGGTGAGGTCTTTGATTTTACTCTTTTTTTACTGTAATTGATTTGGTTTATTTGGCCAACATTCTCTCAGCTTGACATAAGGCCATACTTGGTTAGACCCTTACATACAAATAAACATTACTTAAGAATAAATTACAATAACAATGCTATCATTGTTTTAAATGCATGAGCCTTATGAGCTAAATTCACCCTTCGGGAAAAAGAATAATAATCAATTGACAGTTTACCCATACATAAGTTTGCCCTTGCGTACTAAAACTAAGGTACACAAGGCCTTCAAGCCTTAGCAACCTAAAAATGATCTTTTACATGTTAAAACAAATGGAATATATCAGAATAGCTGAAAGCTAGATTTGGTCCTCTATTTTCAGAATATGTAGCAGGTATTAATCACCCTGCATTTCTCTTTCTATGCTGCTTCCAGCCTCCTAAAAGCTTTTCAGCACAGTATATTAAATCTGCTTTAAGCAGAAAACTGTATTTGAATTTTGGCAAAACACTGCCTTTGCAGATATGTATGCACTTAATTTGTAAATGCCAATCTCAATGCACTTCTTCCAAACGATTAATGATTGTACAACTTAAAGGCTATTGTATAAAACCTCTGCTAGCATTATTTTACAGCGACAAATCTGGTTCATCTTCCATGGAGACTATGATCTCACCATCAACACCCTTCTCTTAATTCAGATGATGAACTGCATGATACTAACCTTTAGAGATCTTTGCTATAGAAACAGAAGTACTCGGCAAAGGATGGGGGAGTACTATGTAGCATGTCTCATATAATAGACACTTGCAGAGGGGGAAGGGCTAATAAAAATACTGTCTTCAAAATATTAACTCTTTTCTATCTCTGTTTTCAGAAATACACACAGCCCAGTACACCAGTCTGAGAAGTAGGACCTAAAAGAAACTTACATTCAGAGACTGAGTCATATTCAAGCCTGGTGGAAGTGGGTATAAAAGTGAAATTCAAAGGAGATTGCTCTGGTTTTGATGTACTTTTCTCTGCTTTGCTTTTTGTCTTCTTATTTTAAAAGGAAAAGGAAATAATGTTGTACCTCAACATGAGGAAGCTTTTTACTGGTGGCCTTTCAAAAAGAAATATGAAAAGTAAATGGAGCTTTCAAGCCTGTGAAGGAATAAACCATACTCCTGGCTCACAGTCCCAAATTCTATCCCCTTATATAAAACTTAAGCACATATCCAGTCTTTACCTTTTGATGAACTATTTTACTGAAAGATAGCATAGCATCTGATCAGCCATGCTAGATGGCTAGGTCTGCCCTGTTGCAGCTAATTATGCATAGAAAGAAAAGGGAACATTAGAGAAAACATCACAGGAACATGACAGAACTCAGTCTTTTATAGATCACTTCTGAGCATATTATTTACCCTTTTCCTAATATTTTTTTTCCTTCTACAGTTCTATCAGGCTGCAGTACACTGTGTGGCTTTCTGTGAGGAAAGCTGAATCTTATGCATTTTTTACCTTATAGTTTGCTTTCTTTGGGCCAACTGAGGTAAACTCCTAAGCAGAAGGTTAAGTCTCTGCCCGCTTCCTTAACTGCATACAGTTAAGGCTTTGCTGCTACATGGTTATTTGCTCTTATGATTCTGTGTGTACCACCTCCTTTCCCGAGTTTTGCCATAAGTGGACTATAAACACAGAGAAAAGTTTTTGGTTTGTCTATCTCCGAGGAGGACCCAAAAATGACACATAAAGGCATTGGACATTGCAAACAAACAAAATATGAAACTTTCCTCACCCTTTGATTGGATTCCCACATTATTCACTGAAAAACAAAATCACCAGACAAAAGAGAAAACAAGTCTCAAGTCTTCCTATGCACTGACAAGGAAAGAACCTCAGTTTGCCCTCTGTCTTCTGGGAACACAGAAGGGGTTAGCACTAACAATTATACTGTCCCACAGCCCCATGTGACAGGAGAGATGACCAAAACATTATAAAAGATGAACAAACCTGAAAAAGTGGCTACTCCCTTTTACAGACTTGCTCTCCTTCAGTATTTCAGCCTTCTTCCATGGTGAGGCACTTGTTCTGCTTTTGTTCCACTGACAGGCCGGCACACCTTTCTGCTAGGGCATGCCATATACAGAGCCTTATGTCCCTATTGGGCATTTCCCCCTTGGTCTCTGCTACTGTTTCAGAATTCCAGTGTTATGATGTAATTGGCAGCATATGAGTGCAAGGCATACCCAGAAAATTCATCTTTATCCCTGGGCTGTGACAGATACCTCTACATCAGCCACAACGCAGTCAAAAGGTTATTATATTGTACTAGCTTCAAATAGAAGACCTGCAAGTTCTTACTTATAGGTCAACCAAATGAAGTCATGAAGGGTTTGCAAGACTGAACATGGTGAGGCTTTTTTAGGATCCTCAAAAATTGCAAAGTAAAGATGGCTTTTATTTTGTCTTGTTGCAAATGCACTGGGAAAAAAAAATCTTTCTCTGTTTCCACATTAACATAACACGTGCTTAACTTTTCTAGCTTGAAAAAATCTGCTTACTACAGACCACACATTACCTCCTCTGGTATCCTGGTTCTTCTGTCCTCCAAAGTACTAATACCATAAAGTGTATGTTTATACAACACAAATTATTCCATGTGTAAAGGTCATAAGGTTTTTACAGTCTGGGTGACTTCTCATCATTTTTCAAGGTCTGACAACCCCCCCAAATCCCAGGGAAGGATGCAAATGAGACTGTGCCATGCTCCTTGCATTGAGATTTGCTTATGCAAACAATGGTGCTCCTACTTGGAACTGCTCTCTAAATTACACTAAACTACAGCCCAGACAGATTTGAGAACACTTTAAATGCTTTTTAAATAGCAGCAAGATGAGTGCCTATTCTAATTGTCCTGATAGAAAACCCAGTCTCATAATATATAGAGAAAAGAAAACCTGTGACTTGTCAATGGGAACAGGAGGACTTTACAGGTAATTTCTCTTGCAAAAGAAAGTCATGTATTTTCTCTTCTCCTCTCTTGGATTTGCATGTTATTTTCACATAACAGGAAAGCTAACACATCTAGCAAAGAATATAAGAAATCTCCTTCCACTCACTTGAGCTCTGGATTGTGTTATCTGTCAGCTGAAATTATGTTTCTCTACATTTCAGACAAATGAAGAGGAATACATCTTCTTTGCTAAAACAAGTTTGGTGAGGGAGCAGAGGTCTCCACTATGTATAGCCCCTTGCAACTGGTCTACACGACATGCAGCCCAGGGCCCCTTGGCCTTTAGCAGACCAGAGCCAATGCCATGCCCTGTATGTTTCCACGGCCATGGGCAGTGAGGCATCAGTCACAGACATAGCCGGTCTGTCAAATGGAGGTACGTTTAAAGTAGCATGAGAGAGTGCCTTGGTTCCACCATGGACAACAAACCCATACATCTGTTTCTGGGCAAAGCTTCCTTCAGATATTGTTTAAATAAAGGCTTATTTGTAAACTCCCAATAAATCCCCTCCCACATATCAGTAAAACTTTATTTTAGAGAAAAAGAATGAACACAGATACATTAATCAAAAGTTAACTACACAGTATGTCGGCATCTAACGAAAAAGAAAGACCTGTACTCCTTTAGGATAACAGCTTCCCACATGGTCCAGTGTGATAACTGTCAAACCCCCTGTACCAAAAGTGACAAAACAACAACAAATGGTATCTTTTAAAGCTGTGACCCATGACGAAGTTTAGGACAAGTTCAGTCTCTGCCAATATGTTTTCACTACCTAAAAGCATCTTGGTTTTGACTTGATAATTACAGTCTGCTGAGCCAAGCAGCTGTCACTAAGGAACAGGAGCTGCCCAAATGAAGCAAAATGCATAGAAGTTTACTGTTGATTTATCACACAATAAATGAACCCAGTTACAGCCTTTTGAGGCATGGAACTGAAAAACAAAAAGAGAGAGGGGAAAAAAAAAAGAGGAAAGAGAGGAAGAAAGAGCTTTGAACATTTTGTTCCAGTCAGTTTCCAAGAATGAAGAAAACACCAGGCATGATTCAATCAAAGGATGCCCTCCCACAGTCCCGCTGTTGCTGGAGAAGTGGCCACTGGGCAGATAACTGAGACACGTATTTGTCAAAGCACACAGACCCAGTCTTTGCTGAGACATAAACTCTTGCTGATGGCAGCACATATACATACCAGGGCAAACAAGAACGGCAGAAATGGCTGAATGAACTTTATTCAGAATCTGACATACGATGTCAGTATAATGAATGTGACCTAAAGAAGAGTATTACACTCAGAAGCAGACTGAGTTGTCAGCTCTGACCAATTAGTACCAGTTAATTTTATGTTGATAGCTAGTACATATATATGATATTCTGTAAAAGCTTAATAGCTGTCACTATAAAACATAGTTCTCTTTCTCCCCTTCCTCATATTTGGGAAGTACTTTCAGTTGAATCCTCTTCAGTACTTGTTGCAGACTGAAATTAATGCAAATGTAATTCTGGCAGTCTCTGCAAGACACCAAAAATGCATGGAGCAGAAAAGTTCTTTTCTCACCTACCATCTCTATGACTATTGCTCTTAAAAACCAGAACTGTTTTGTTCCAACTACTGTACACCATGATTTTTACAGCAACTGTAGTCTCCACAGAACTAAGATAGACAAAATGTAGGGTTTTTCTCCCCTTCCTTCTGAAGTTCAAGTTCTCTCCCAGAGCAATAAATACCATGCCTACATAGTCATGTACTTGGGAAACATTTTGAGCAGCAGTAACCAACACAAACAGCTGCTACATTTGTTGAACTGAATGGCAGACTTCCTGGTGTGCTTATCAGTAACGGAAATATTAAAAATTGCCATAATTTTTATTGTTACTAATGGAACAGCTAGATTTTTGCCTCAAGTTGCTGGAACTGACAGTTGCAGTTAAGAAAATAGGTGTTGTCCTTTGGTACGCACCCGGTCTGCACTTAGCTAAAACACAGAGATACATAAAGCACTATTATTAACCCTGCAGACAAGACGTTACCATGGTACATTAACAGACCACTTTACAAGCAGTGTTTATTAATTACTGCCCCCTGCAAGACCACCACCAGCAGGAGGGCAAGCACAGACCTGTTTTTAGGAGAGACCTGTCTGAAGTCTGTTGCGAAACTGGAGGGATAATTTGCCTTTTGATAGTTCAACATCCACAAAATGGCCCTCAAGCAGTTTCCTGGACTCTATTTCTAGCCTGTCCTTCTGGTCAGAATTTTAAATAGAAGAGGAAGGGTCAGAAAGTAACAATTGTTTATAAACAATGTCAGTACTTGTTGGGTAGTCTTTCCAGTGTTTTCCCACGTACAACTGTCAACTAACTTATAGGTTAGTGTGTTGTTTTCACCATTGCTTGTCACATTTATTCTTCCCTTGTAACATTTTCTTCAGTAAGAGAACTGTAATTCAGCCACATGTTCCAAGAATATAACAGGCTCTAACTGCAAAAATAACCACTACTGATAATTGCATTTTTCCTTACAGACAAACTGCATAGAGGTAACATTGTTTGCTTCTGAAACCTAGACACGCACACATAGATGAAAAGGTATTTGCCATCAGCGCTTTGGTAAACAATTCTTATGAGCTTCTGGCAAGTGAATCCCTTTCTGATTGTTTCCCCTACCTAGAAAATAAGGCTAGAAATGCATATCTAGATGTTCCATAATAGTGGTGGGGATTTTTTAAAATATTAATTACTTTCTATTTGAACAGTGTCACAAAGCTATAAAGTGTAGAGTGACGTATTCGCCAAGGTTCTTATTTGGTATATTTTGAAAACAACTCCTTGCTGCCATCACTTTCTTAATTTCAAATGCTCAAGTGGAAACTCCTCAGATATGGATTTGGCTTCAATAAATATTTCCTTGTAATTTTACAGATTCTGGCCTCCTTAAAGTGTATTATAACACACTCAAAAAAAGAATATAGTGTTGTCTTGTATGTCATGAAAGTAATCCTCACTCACAAAATGTGAGCTGGAAAAGTGAGTGGAGTTCTTCTAGATTAACAGTCACAAAGAGAAGCTGCTAAGAAAACAGTTAAGAAACCCACAGCATGCCCTAATTTAAAACACAGACATACACAGAAAAAAGACTTGCCATCAACAAAAGAAAACATGAGGTCTGCTGCTAGCTAAGTGCCCTTATTCTTTGGTTATTCCAGTCTGTATGTTGCTAGTTTACAGTATTTTATGTACTATCCTGCACAAAAATAAACAGGTCCTCAGGGATTAACATACCACAACGAACACTTCAAAACTACTTGCAGTAGCTCCCTTTCCACACCTTCATAGATGTAAACAAAAAAAGATTTCTGAACAGGAGCTACTGGAATCACTTGCCTTCATATTGTGGCAAGTAGGCATTCAAAATGCCAGTTGATGTGGAAACTAAAGAAAATGGAAAATTGCATCCTAATGAGGGCTATTCTAGCTAAGCATCTGAGAAACATCATCACGAAAAATTTCTTCTTGATACTATTTTAAAAGGTTTTTTGCCCATAATTAACCAAGTTGAAAGCTAGGACAGTAGCTAGGAGCAAGTGGTTTGAAAACCTGCATTATCCCTGCTAATGTACAAAAAGTACTGTGCTTTCACATGTAGACCTTGCTGGAAGCCCTAGTTAAAGACAGTCACAGTTAGCTATGATAACTCCTGCTCCAGTACAGTGCTTTTAGTTCAAGTCCAGCTCTGCAGGATTCTGATATAACTTTCCCAAAGCAGTGACAGACTTGTCACTGACACTGAGGAGAACCTGAAACAAGAAGTCTCACAAAAAAAAAAGGGACCATCAGATATTGGACAGGTTGTGAGTTTGAATAAAAAGACAGTACATACACAGAAAAAGTGCTTGCTACATGCTGCAACTCTCCACCTAGTAACTCATATCTGCAGATATATATATATGCAGAGAGGATGATCCACATTGTGGAGCTTACTGAGAAGGAACACAGTGAAGAAATAAAATATGGGCAGGGTACAGCATGAACTCTGAAAAAAAAAAAAAAAGGAAAAGGAAGATGACTAAACTGCTCCAGTTGAAAAGAAGAGGAATCTCCAGACCTCAGTTGATTAGTACTGCTAATCAGATTTCCCCATTTTCTCACTTAAACATTTTAGGTCCTGTTAATTTAGATTTCTTCATTCTGAATAGCCTTTTACAGCTGATCAAGAACAAGACAAACATCTGCCCTGCAAAGACTTCACTTAAAGATTTTATGCAACATTTTAAATAAATACTGTGCCTAATAAATCAAGATTTTGTCCATATCCAAACCAATGACTCAAGCCACTTGTCTCTGCATAGTGATTTTCTTTCTGTTAGAGTAGACAATCATATTTGGGATATATTTAGAAAAAAAGACAGAAACTTTTGCTAGCTTCTATATCACTACTTCTTAGTGACTCAACTTTATTTTAATGCCACATATTGCACAGCTGTCAGCCTGTTGCAAATATTTCTGCATCCTATTTAGTTAGTTAACCTACAATTTCAGAAGCTTGTGATCTCTTATGGAAGTTCGCAGATGTAGTCCCCTCACCCTCCCCAGCTATAGCATGACGATACGTGCTAGAACATAGGCTCTGGCAGACTTTGGAGACGGATGTGGAAAGGTTACACAATTTTGCAATAAATTCATTATGATCAACCAGCAGCAGTTAAAGCAATCACTCTCCTGGTCAAAGAAATAAGTGAGGAAAAGAAAAAACAAAAAACCCAAGTCTTCACTTTTCTGATGTCCTGTTGCATCAAAGCACAGGTTGCAACAAGCTGAGAAAGTATAATGTGCTTCAACGTCTTTTTCAGTTGCTATGGTACAGTTTCTTATGGAAAATTCCTTGTTCTGCGTGATGTTTTTCCTGCCTCATTTGGGGTGGCAGAACCGTTCCTTGTGTCACCTGAGAAACCGGGCTGTCAGTTTCCACCTATTGGTGAGAAAGAAACTCATCAGCAGCAGAACTCAATGGAAAATTCCTCGGTTAGAAGTTTCTGCGCTGGAGGCCAATATGACATGGGGGAGCAAGGATGGATGGATGGGCCAGGGGATGAGGGTACCACACAGGATATCTGGTTTCCACCTCAGGGTCAGCCACAGATTTCCTGTGTGATCTGGGACAAGGGATTTAATTTCCAAGACTCCCTGCTCATACAGGCAGGACAACCAAGCATCCTTCCCCCATTCTTCACCCCATGTGTGAAGCCCCAGGTCTGTAACCTGTCCACAGGACAACCAAGTAGCTCCAGGTTACAGGAGTGGGGCCATAGTCCAAAAGCTCTTCAGGCAGGGGTTATTTGCAGATGCGCAGTTCCCCAATGCTTTGTACAGAGAGGTCTTGTTTGGATCTCAGGGCTCTAAAGTAATGGACAAAAGTAAAGATAAACAATTTCATTGTCTTCTGTTGTTAAGGAAAAATATCAATACAGGCAAGGAGGAAAAACTCCAACTTTACTTCAACTTACTCCAACTTTTCCAAGCAGGAAAAAATGTTTGGCTTTTGGAAGAGATGTGCAATCTATTTTCTGCATAGATAATACTGAAAACTGCCAGAAACATGGTATAAAAATGGGACTATAGCATCACACTAGTGACACAGAGCAATCAGGGATAAGGGGAATTTCTTTAATGGATTAGTTGGAAATAATCTGATTTTAATGTGACATTTTTTCCTGCTGCAATGTTTGCCCTTCCAATCAAAAAATAATTAGATTCTACAACTTTTGATTCATGACAAAAACAAAGCATGGTTAAAAAGAAAAACTAAAAAAAGGTGTTAACATTTTATATGCAGGTGGATACTTATGGTACTTCAGAATGCCAAAATTCCCATGGCCTCCCTGTGGTGGTGAGAAGAGCTTTTGACCTCTCTGAGGAAATGGGTTTTGAAAATAATAAATGTATAAGTGCTGGAAAAGAGACTCATTTAGTAATGTCTGCCATGAGAATGAAGAGCATTCAAAATGTGACAATGCAATTTCATTCCACAGGACAAATTTTCTGGTGGTGCCAAAATTTAAAGCTCCATTGACTTCAGTGGAGTTTCACCCTTTAATCCAAGAAAGTTTGGACTTTTGGATATCACTTGCAGTAACATACAATCCCTTTTGTCTTTTAGAGCCCTTTCCCTTACCAGATAAGTTCAACAAGAAAATTAATGGAAACAGGTACAGGAACAAAAGAAAATATACTAATATTTAATTGAACACCAGTCAGGACATTCAAAATTCTGATTCCCACAGCACTACTTTCAGCATAAAGCCAGTCAAAAATTTCACTGAGAAACATTAATGACATAAAATAAAGTTTCAAAGATTTGGCAGCAGAAAAATGATGATTTTTAGTTATGTTTTTGGCTTCCTAAAACAAAGAATAAAATTTAACATTCCAAAGTGGAAAAATCCTTCCTTTCCCCCATAAAAAACACATGAAAAAACTCTTTCCCATAATTTTGAAATATTTTCCCTGGTGAATATTTAAAAAGAAATAATTTTAAAAACACCAAATTATTTAAATTTTACTGAAGATGCACATTTTTTCCATTTCAACATTTCAAATTGAAACTTGAGACAAATTTTAACCAAGTGCCCTCTGCCTTCACTTACATTTTAAAGCTGAAAGTAATGGGAGGAAAAGTCCGTTTTTGAACAGGTTTACTTCTGTGCATTTGAAATCTCACCTACTACCCTGAAACTCTGGAAGGGGAGGAGTTGTATTGAAGTTGGAATAATTCAGTAAAGGCTGCATTATTCTGGCTGTACAAAGTGGTAAAGTAGGACCTTCCTCTCACACTTTGTATTATAGTGGAGCAACCACCCTTTCAAGGCTGTCATCAGATGAAGAACTGGTTGCCAGTCTCATACAGAAGCCTATGCAGGATGCCTGCTTCACTGATCATTTTCCTCATTCTTATCCAGAAGCTACCAAATTTGACTCTCATAAACTTACCCAGTAAAAACCATGAGCAAGTCAAAGGGATGCTGAGAATGGAAGTCAAAACTCAGCTTTAAGCACAGCAAAGTTTTAACCAAGATCTAATGAAGTTATAGAAGTTCAAACCAAAATCCAAGATTTGAGTACAACTTACTTTTGACAAACTTTAGTTCCTGATCTGAATTCTGTGAGTTAAAAGCAATTGCTCTGAAAATCTCTCCCAGACTGAGCAAATAATAAATATCAAAGAAAGATTCTGCAATTTAATTGCTATGCTACTGCAAATACTTGTTACGTACAAATCTTTTGGAACAGTAAAAGTTTTGCATACAGAAGTATTTGTGTGTTAGAACAATTTGGATTATGATGGGCCATCTCATCTTCAGTAAGGTTGGTGTTGCTATATTAATATTCCTGATACAAAGAAAATCTGAAGAACAGCTTCTCTGTTTTTCAGCAACTAAAGCAAAACAAGATATCTATTAAATACCCAATCCCTTTGATAATCACAAGCACTCTAATAATCTTTCTCCTTTTATCTCCAGGAGCACAAGTAGCAGCTGGTGTCTGGAGGTGGGGGTCATGGACAGATACAGAAATAAACAGTGACCCAGAAGAGAGTTTTGTTCTTCATCTGTCTTGTACTCTATTGATCTTTTCACACTCTCCAAAGATCCATGGCATTTTATAGTTATGACAATAATGAAATGCTATCATGGACTTAAGATCTCTCTCCTGAACATCTAGAAAAGCAATAATCATCAGTTTAAAACATATAAAACCAAACCAACAAATGGTTAAAGTAACAGATAAAAGGCTCTGTCATGTCAACCTCTAGTTCTGTTCACTGGGGTTAGAGAGGAGTGTGGGTAAAATTTCCTTCCCAACCCAATCATCCTGGCTGTCACGATGAAATGTACAAAAAAGAGAAAACTTGATGAACATATCAGACTAGTGAAAGGCAATTAAAGAAACCCTTAATCAAACACTGCTGCTTTTAACAAGTCAGGTAATGTATTAAATGCAAAGCCTATTTGCCTAAACCCTTTTGCTCTCTGAATCCTAATCCTGAAGTCAGCAAGGACAAAACCTCGGCAGTGACCTCAATCACTTGAACTCCGAGCAGTATAGCTGCAAAATACGGCTTAATCAGAGTAAACTGCCAACAGGCCTACCCTTTTGTCTTTCTTATCTTTTATTTCCTTTTTCCTCCTCCACCCTCTCCTTCCTTCTCTTTGTTTGGGAGAAGGAGATTTATACACATTACAGTCTCACAGGGTGCCACTTCTTACTGGAGGTCTCTCTGGTTATTGCTCGAGTACACGCAAGATGCAGGCTTTTGTATTTCCCTACTAGTTTCCCAATTGTCTGAGCATGATTTAGCAGTTTTATCTTTGTGATGTGGGTTCAGTTTTGTCCTTTCTAATGAGTTTTATCAGTAATTGTGTCTCAGAGTTTATATTCTTGATGCCAGTGTCACCCTTAACATGCTTGCTGGCATATACAGCACCTAAAGATAAGAATTTTTTCTCCATGTTTGCAACATGGGAGGTATTCTCTGTAGCAAAGCCTGAGGACGTACATCAAATTCTGCCCATATAGAGCAGTTGCCTGTTAAAGGTAACAAGCAAAATGTTAAAGAGTTTGCATTGCCTTTTCTTTGTTCCATAATCTTGCTATAAGAGAGTATCACATCAAGATATACTTTGTATTTTTTGCATTCATGTACAGGGTGCATTTCCTAAGTCTTTACGTTATTTTTCCCATCACTTTTCATTGGGCTGAAGAGGAAGGGAGAAGAAACTTTTGTCTCCTGTGAATCAAACTATCACCTTCTGGAGATCAGACTGAGTACTAGCTGCTCAAAAGTGTGATTTTATTTACAGTAATCCTACAGCTTGCACAACTTAACCACACACACCAAGAACCTCAGTAATTCAAGTGTATCAGAATGCAGAAATGCTTAGCTTGCACAGTATTAAATGGCTCATTAGTTTACTTAAAAGCAATAACCCAAAAGCTAATTCCAAATACAAAGAAAACAGTACTTGCTGGGTTTGGCTCAAATATGTTCAAATAGGCTTTGACCTATGGCCTTCTTAGCCTGATTAGCCAGAGACTTAACATGCCATGCAAAACTCCCCAAGTTCTCCTCAGCACTGACACAGCCTCTCAGAATTTCAAGCAGAAAGCAGCACAGGGAACAAGGGGCAGCTTGTGACCATGGAGGGTTTATATCCTAGCTTGTAAACTAGTATTTCCTTTTCTTATTATAAGAGTGTGAAGATCTAGGAAAGATTTAAACTCAAGACCGCATTTCCATTTAAATAATTGCCCTTCTTTCTTAAAAATGAAAACTCATCTTTGAGAAGCTTTAGCTAATGAACAGTGTGCATTTTAACATGTATGCTTGTATATAGTAGACCCAGTTATGCCACAGAAAGCATAACAAAACGTTTCTTAAAGGCTTTTGCAGACATTTAGATGGGACAACTGGTCTGATGAGGCAAAGAGCTCACTGTGGGTGGGCACAGCCTTTTCTATATGATGAAGAATAAATATTACGCAGTCAAGCAGGGACTCCATCCCAAGGCTAGACCAAAAAAACATCCAAATATTTCTCTGTACACTTTCTCTCCATTATGAAAAACACACTATGCTTTTCTGTGCTTCTCTAATAGAAAGTGCTCTCCAGGTTTCTGTGTACACATTCTATCAATAAACAGATGCTGCAAAGTTGAGATGGCAAAGTTGTCTTCTGCAGGACCAGTGAACACCTATGTGCTTTATTCTATTTTGAAAACACCCTATCTTACAGTCAAGAAAATTTACCAGTTCAAAATAAACCTCTTAACAGTTTGTTTAATGTTGCCATTAAACAAACAGTCCTGTTTCAGATGTTGAGGCCAAACTTAAAACACACAGAGATCAAGAGGTAGGAAAGACTCACTGGTTAAAATTAGAAATCTGTTTTGAACTGGGCCTCTAGAGGAAAGC